TCTCTCTCTCTCTCTCTCTCTCTCTCTCTCTCTCTCTCTCTTCTCTCTTGCTCTCTCTCACCTTCTCTCCATCTTGCTCTCTCTCTCTCTCTCTCTCTCCCCTCATCTCCCTTCCCTCACTCCTATCTATCTCCCCTCAATCTCTTTCTCTCCTTCTTTGTTTCCCATCTCTTTCTCTTGTTCTCTGTCTCCTCCCTTTATATTTCTCCTTATCTTTCTCTCCTTCCATCTTCCTCCCACTCTCCTTCTCTGTCTCCCTCCATCCTCTCTTACCTTCTCTTTCTCTCCCTCCATCTCTCTCTCCTTCTCTGTCTCCCTTCTCTCTCGCTCTCCTTTTATTCCCTCCATCTCCTCTCTCTCTCTCTCTTCCCTTTGTCTCTCCTCTCTCTCCTCTCTCTCTCTCTCTCTCTCTCTCTCTCTCTCTCTCTCTCTCCTCTCTCTCTCTCTCTCTCTCTCTCTCTCTCTCTCTCTCTCTCTCTCTCTTTCCATGCATCCTTGTAGAAAACGCGATAAGAAAGAGCGCAGAAATCCAACCCTTTTAACCCTTTTCTCTCATTCTACTCAGTTTACTCAGTACCTTAACATTCCGAAGCCCCATAAAAAAAACATTTTTCTTCCTCTTACGACAACTTAGAAGTAAAAAAAAAAAAAAAAAAAAAAAAAAAAAAAAAAAAAAAAATCCTACATGTTCTTAAACTGTAAACACCGTTTCATCGTCCATATAACCTTTACCAAATATGTTTAGGAGCGTTAATGGTCACAACAGTAGCCTCCTTTCCCGTTTTTTTATTACTTTTCTACTTTGCCGAAGAAAAACCCGACAATAAATGTACTAAATGACTTTCTAAATAACCGAAAACGGTCTATAACAGAGCAACGTAATAACCTTTATTAAGCGTATGTAACGTATGACGGGTCGTAAGTGACAGGAAATGCAATATTTTTCACCAGTGTTGTATTGTGAGCGAATCGAAGTAGGTTACTTTCTTTCACTGTCAGGCATTAAGCTTCATCATTTACAAGCACATATCATCCTTGTGTCATGGCTTCTGGCTGTGATATGTTTGTACGTGTGTATGTGGGAGTGGGGGAGTGTGTGTGTGTGTGCGTGTGTGTGTGTGCGTGTGTGTGTGTGTTGTGTGTGTGTGTGTTGTGTGTGTGGTGTGTGTGTGTGTTTGTGTGTGTGTGTGTGTGTATGTGTGTGTGTGATTTATAATGTTGTGTATGTGTGTGTGTGTATATGTATAAAACACACACACACACACACACACACACACGTATGTATATGTATATTATATGTATATGTGTTGTGTGTGATTGTGTGTGTGTTGTGTGTGTGTGTGTGTATTATTATACATATATAGTTTTCCATCATTGGGAAGTACAAACCTTTTAATTCACTCGGTCACAATACATACAAATAGCGTTGTTAGCATAAATAAATTCATAGCAATCCTCACTATGTACCGGGCAATGACAACAACCTGGACACCCCTCCCCCCCCCCCCCAACCCACCAGGAACGGCCATGCACGCTTCGAAAACCTTAAAAAAAAAAAAAAAAAAAAAAAAAGTGAACACCAGAGCCCACTTGATACGACTCGTGTTTTTTTTTCGCCACGAGGTCGTAAAAAAATTTCTTGTCGGGCCGATGAAGCAGATTGATACATGCCGGAAGTTGCTGGGAAGACTTCGAGGTTCTCGGGTCATCAGGAATCTTGGGGCGAGGAGCATCTTCCGAGACGAAGGCGGGAAGAGAGAGAGAGGCGGGGATGCAGGGAAGGAGGGAGAAGGAAAGGGAGGCAGATAGATAAAATAGATGGATATATACATACACACACAATATATATGTGTGTGTGTGTGTGTGTGTTTGTGTTTTGGTTTGTGTGTGTGTGTGTGTGGTGTGTGTGTGTGTGTATTTGTGTGTGTGTGTGTGTGTGTGTGTGTGTGTGTGTGTGTGTGTGTGTGTGTGTGTGTGTGTGTGTGTGGAGAGAGAGAAGAGAAGAAGAAGAGAAGAGAAGAGAGAGAGAGAGAGAGAGAGAGAGAGAGAGAGAGAAAGAGAAGGAGAGAGAGAGAGAGAGAGAGAGAGAGAGAGGAGAGAGAGAGAGAGAGAATTTCAATGATAGCTAGATATCCTGAAATAGATCGATAGATAGGCAGATAAACGGTGACGTTTGCTGAATTAGATCGCGTCTACCTGATGTAGCAACCACAAAATAGTGTACCGGAAGTGTAAAGCAACGATCCTGCAACACAACTCAAGATTTTTACCATAAGGAATGCTGTGTCACTTTGGCGTCTATGTCTTCGGTCTTGACGTCACGGGAGAAACTTGAACATGCACATACATCTATTACACAGCTATCTATTACTCCTCAATCCCTTCCTTCATTGTTACGCTGGCTCGGTGAATACTGATTTAACAATATAAAAAAGTGAACGACAAGCTATCCTGCTGCCTTAACACGGTCAATAATAATAGGCAGTTTTCTGAAAAAAATAAGTATCGGAAATTAGATTTTAATAGTTTCGATCATTACTACACCACACACACACACACACACACACACACACACACACACACACACACACACACACACACACACACACACACACACACACACACACACACACACACACACACACACACACACACACACACACACACACACATTTGTCATTTGTTTTTTATCCACTAAATGATTTGTGTGCGTGTGCTTTCATAATATATTTCCCCTTGAGTACATGGTGTTACTATTCAGACCATTGCATTAGCAAGGAAATAATTAAATTAGTGCAATTTATCATATGTTTCCAGCAGATTTGATATAGTATTAATTTTCGTGACACAGTAAAATGAGTTCATACCTGTGCTTTTGTAATTGTGTGCGCATGTTCGTGTATATGTGAATTTGTATACATAAACATGTATGTATTTCTTCTTCTTGTGTAGTTTTCAGTCTCTGTTTTTTTTAAATGTTTTCTATCTCTGTATTAATCTCCTCTCTCTTTTTCTCTATCCTTATCCTATACTCTCTCTATCTCCATCATTCGCCCACTCCTTCAGCCTTATCTCTCTTCTCTTGTCTTTCTCTTCTCACCAACTCTAAGTCTTTCATTCTACCTTCCCTTACCTCCCCCTCCCCCCTCACTCATCTATTCTAGCAGATACTCTAGCCTTCCCCCCCCCACTTCCTTCTTGCCACTTCTCATTTCATTATCATCTTTTTCCCTTTGTTGACCTTGACCTTAACACCCCCCTCGTCTACCCCTATCCCCCCCCTTCAAATCCCCTCATCTACCCTGACCTTCCCTTCCACCCCTCATCTACCCTCCTTCTCCCCTCCCTTCCACCCTCTCATGCACCTCCTCCTCCCCTCCACTCACCCCTATCCTCCCTTCCGCTCTTCTTATCTACCTCCATCCTCCCTTCTACCCTGACCCTCCCTCCCACCCCCTCATCTACCCTCATCATCATCTATTCCTCATCTACCTTCACCCTTCTTGTTGTATCTAAAAAAAAAGTAAAAAAAAATAGTAAAATAAGAAAAAGTAAAAAAAAAGTTTAAAAAGGTAAAAAAAGTAAAAAAAAAAGATAAAATAAGTAAAAAAAAAGTAACAAAAAAAAAAAAGAAAAAAAAAAAAAGAAAAAAAAAAGTAAAAAAAAAAAAAAAAAAAAAAAAAAAAAGAAAAAAAAAAAAAATAAAAAAATAAAAAAAGTAAAAAAAGTAAAAAAAAAAAAAAAAAAAAAGTCTTTAACCTGTTCACATCCAGGAATCCTCGATACAACTCGCCGAAGCCGTCTCGAGAAGGCATTTGTCTCCTCCAGAACAGGAGCGCCTTGCCGAACACAACTCCTTAGGACGCTTCCATTAGACTTCGGTGACATTCTCGAGACGGTCAAGTTTGCGTCTTGAGGAACTTCGCTGTCAAGTTGGGCGCGAGAAGTTTGATTCGGGTTATTAGGTTATTGTCGGAGTGGTTATTAGGATTGAGGTTGTTATCTTTATGCTTATCTTTGGTGTTGACGTTCTTGCTGTTATCTTTATGTTATTTTTTGTTGTTGTTATCTTTATGCTTATCTTTGTTGTTCTTGTGTTATCTTTTGTTGTTGTTATCTTTATGCTTATCTTTGTTATTGACGTTCTTGCTGTTATCTTTATTTTTTTTTGTTGTTGTTATCTTTATGCTTATCTTTGTTATTGACGTTCTTGTTGTTATCTTTATGTTATTTTTTTGTTGTTTATCTTATGCTTATCTTTGTTATTGACGTTTTGCTGTTATCTTGTTATCTTATTTTTGTTGTTGTTGTTATCTTTATTTATCTTTGTATTGTTGTTATCTTTATGTTATCTTTATTTTTTGTTGTTGTTGTTATCTTTATGCTTATCTTTGTTATTGACGTTCTTGCTGTTATCTTTATGTTATCTTTATTTTGTTGTTGTTATCTTATGCTATTTTGTTATTGATTGCGTTATTGTTGTTATCTTTATTGTTGTTGCTATCTTTGTTGACGTTCTTTGCTGTTATCTTATGTTTTTATTTTTTTGTTGTTGTTGTTATCTTTATGCTTATCTTTGTTATTGACGTTCTTGCTGTTATCTTTATGTTATCTTTATTTTTGTTGTTGTTTCTTTATGCTTATCTTTGTTATTGACGTTCTTGCTGTTTTCTTTTAATCGTTGATGTTGTTATTATTTTATTGTTTGTTATTATTTTTTCAGTGTTGGTATCCCCGTACGCATCCTCATTCTTATCATTATTGTTATAACGTTATCATTATCGTTAACACTATCATTATAATAATTACAATTATCATCATCATCATTATCATCCTTTTCATCATCAACATCATAATCTTTATCATTATCAACTTTATTAACGTTGTTATTTTTCTTATTTTTCTTTACAATAATCGTCGTTATTATCTAACAACTGTTCATGACACCAAGCCGAACCATCTGTTTAACATGCCTAAAGTGTCTTATTTACGTTGTCAACATGTTATACCAAGTATCTTTGTATTCAGTGTAGGTTATTGCCTTACGGGTCTTGGCATATATATATATTTTTTTGTAATCTAAGCTAAGAGAGTGGGTTTTTTGTGTGTAATTTGTGTGTGTGTGGTGTGTGTGTGTGTGTGTGTGTGTTTGTGTGTGTGTGTGTGTGTGTGTGTGTGTTGTGTGTGTGTGTGTGTGTGCGTGTGTGTGTTTCTTTATATGTGTGTGTGTGTGTGTGTGTGTGTTTCTTTGTGTGTGTGTGTGTGTTTTTTGTGTGTGTTCTTTATGTGTGTGTGTGTGGTGTTTTTTTATTTATGCGTGTGTATGTGTGTTTTTATGTGTGTGTATGTGTGTGTGTGTTTCTTTTGTTATGTGTGTTTCTTTGTGTGTGTGTGTTTCTTTATGTGTTATCTTTTGTGTGTGTGTGTGTGTGTACGTGTGTGTATGTGTATCTCTCTCCCAATTAAACCTCCATCGAACCAAAGCACATCGCCCGGGTACAAGGCAGCCTCATCAGCCACATCGCCGCGACAGGAAGCAGAGCAGGAAGAACTCAGCCCCACCCGCAAGAAGCAGAGCAGGAAGAACTCAGCCACATCGCCGCGACAGGAAGCAGAGCAGAAGAACTCAGCCACATCAAGCAGAGCAAGGAAGAACTCAGATCGCCGCGACAGGAAGCAGAGCAGGAAGAACAGAGCCACATTAGACAGGAAGCAGAGCAGGAAGAACTCATCGCCGCGACAGGAAGCAGAGGCAGGAAGAACTCAGCACTCGCCGCGACAGGAAGCAGAGCAGGAAGAACTCAGCACTCAGCCGCGACAGGAAGCAGAGCAGGAAAGAACTCAGCCAACGCGACAGGAAGCAGAGCAGGAAGAACTCAGCCACATGACAGAAGCAGAGCAGGAAGAACTCAGCCACATCGCCGCGACAGGAAGCAGAGCAGGAAGAACTCAGGAAGCAGAGCAGGAAGAACTCGCCACATCGCGCGACAGGAAGCAGAGCAGGAAGAACTCAGCCACATCGCCGCGACAGGAAGCAGAGCAGGAAACCGAAATCCAGCCTCGGTCAGGGGGCCAACAGGGAAGGGCGGAAGGGGGGGAGGAAGAATAACTAAGACGGTCATCTCTAGCTCATCAGCACGAGCGGTCGTGGCAAGAAGGATGCCTTTGGGGATTCGGATAGCTAAGGAGAGTGGTACTACTCGCAAATTTGGGGGTATTGGTTGGAGCTAAATGAAGGGTCGTAGGACAAATTGCTCAAAGGGAGGGTAGAAGAAGAGACGGATGGGAAGTTAAATGAAGAGAAAGAGAAGAGAGAGGAGAACATTAGAAGAGAGAGAAGATGATGCAGAGTAAGAATTAAAATGAAAGAGGAGTAGTAGAGAAGAGATGAGAGAGTAAAGAAGAAGATAAGAGAGAGAAGAGAGAGAGAGACTCAAAAAAAAGAGAGTAGAGATGAGTAAGAGTAGATGAGAGGAGATTAGAATAGAAAAGAGATGGATGAGAAAAGAAATAAAAACAAAGGTTCATTAGATAAAATGTTAATTGGAAGCATATTTTGATCTTCATAAGGTTTTTTTTTTTACATCCTGGCGTGTATATAGATGTCATGACGACTCTAGAATCGCGATAAAAAAACCTAGATACACATACACCCCACACAGTGTGAATATTGTGTGATGTGAGTATGAAGGTCGTTATTAATTGGTACCTAATTTCTACTCTACTATTACTTTAAGTACCACTAATTCATATTTTACCTAATAATAATATATATATAGATAAGTACGCCGTTGGTGATGTGGTTTGTTGTATTTAATTGTGTATTTTTGTTGTTTTCTCTCAGGTGAGGTCTCTCTCTAATGGCGATAGTGGTGATTTCAGGATCTTTTGTAATTTCACGTGCGACGATTTTGCTACGAAATTTTGATTTGTTGATTTGGAGAGTTAGTATTGTATGTGCGTTATTGTGTGTTGATGTGTTGTTTGTGTTGGTGTTGTTGTTGGTGTGTTGTGTGTGTGTGTGGTGTGGTTGTGTGTTGTTTGGTAGGTAAGTGGTGGGTGGTTAAGCTCGTTTTGGTATAGTCATGTGATTGATTGATCGTAGTGTTGTAATCTGTAATTGCGCGTTGGTGTGTATGTTAATGGTGTCTACCAATGTGTATATTATATGGCGATTGTATGTAGTTTATAACTTTTATATATTTACTGTCTGTAAAAGAACGGACTTTTGTCAAACTTAGGGTGATTTTTTCATTTAATTAGTTCGCCATATTTGTGGAGCGGCCTTTCCCAGGATTGTATCCAGCTTTAGTGCGTACTTGGTGAGTAGTATATAGATTATTACATTGTCTCTTTTTTTTTATTTTTTTTTTTTGTTTTTTTTTTGTTTTATTTTTTATTCTTTTTTTTTGTTTTGTGTTCTATCTCTTTCTTCATTCTTGTCTGTTTCTCTTTTTCAAGTTAACATATATAGGTTAAAGCAAAGTTCCTGCGTGGTGTGTCATGAGTATGTATATGGACTATATGTCTCCTCCAATATATGCTTAGCAAATCCATAATACTTATCATCATCAAGGTGATCGTTATATATTATCTTAGGCTGTGTCTTATCATCATATTATTTTTATTTGTGTATGTATTTATGTCTATAAATTTACATGAGTTATATTATTCAGTGTTTTATTTGCTTTTTATTTTTATTTTTTATTATATATATTTTTTTTTTTATTTTTTTTATGCTTAGGTGTCCTGATCTAGGGTATTCTTCAGTTTAGATGAATTTAGCTTGTTGTTTATTAATTGTTTAATCATTAATTATCATTGTTATTAATGTTTTAATCATTATTATTATTGTTTGAATTATCATAAATACTGTATAATGGTGATGGTGATGAATCCATTACAAGTGGTACAATAATACCAACATAATTTACTGAAAGTTTACAAACATAATAATCAATACTTATTATCACCCTTACTATTACATCATGTAATAATAATAACTGTAATAATTACGTTTCCAGCATTATTTTGCTATCATTCCTGTTAGGACTATCTTATCATATTACCGTCATCATTATAGTTTGTTCGGTTTAATACTCTGGTTTATATTCATCTGAAACTGGACGACTATATATTCATAATAATGTTTCATGTACTTTGTTAATCTTTTTAATGTTTTCCTTTATTTTTCTTCATTTTCTGTTTCCATCTCGTTCTCTTTTTTCTTACTTTTCTAACTCTCTCTCTACTGCTGTCTTCATTATTTTCCTTTTCGTGCTTGTCTCTACTTCTTCTGTCTCTGTTGTCTGCGTCTGTTGTTGTCCATGTCCTCTCTCTCTCATCTCTCTCTCTCTCTTCTCTCTCTCTTCCCTCTCTCTCTCTCTCTCTCTCTCTCTTCTTTCCCTTCTTCTTTTGTTTTTTGTACTTTTATTTCTTTTTATTCTATTGTTAATAATTTATAATAATTAATGATTGGTGATAGCAATGATAAATTTATGTGATTAAGATAAAATAATGATGAGTTAATTATTAAATATATCGGTTTTTGTTTATATGTATCTGTTATATTTAATTATTATGGTTATTTAATGTATGTTAATGTATTAATTAAGTACGTACTTAGAATACATCCCACCACACATAAACTCAAACACCCACAACTAAACATCAATACCACAAACGGCGGTATGCCGCGCGCCTGCTAGCGGCAACAAGATATATATTATATTATATATATATATATATATAATATTATAGTTATTTAGGGATATAAATTACACTATCAAACACACTCAACACATTACACTCAGACTAACTCGAATCACTATCACACCTTCTGCTAACACACGCATCACACACTACAATATCGCGAACCTCATGCATACAATCAACAAACATAAATTTATCATTGGGGTTTGAGCTCAATTCTACATTTTTTTTTTTTACTAATTAATCTTAAATATAGTAGTCACACGCACACATCTACACACAAAGCTTAAACTCTAGAAGTAAACTTTAGGAATGGTATTAACAGAAGGTACAATATAGTTATAGAGGTATTAATTAAATAAAATAATCACTTCATATTAAATCTTATTTATATATTCATATTAAATTATTAAGCAAAAATACAGTAAAATTAAACGGCTAAAGAGAAGGGGAAAATATCTGGAAATATGTAGAACATATATATATAACTATTATTCAGATAATGAGACTTATTGATTGCATTTTGGCGTGGTGGTATAAGAATCGTTAGCATTTTAAGTAGATATGGGTCTTAGCAGATTGTTATTAGTTTGTGTGGTGGTGTGTGGTGCTAGGTTGTGTGTATTTTATTATTGTTGTTTGTTTGTCGTTGTCAATTATAATATTTTATTAGGTGTTGGTATACTGTATTTGCTATGTATATATATATATAATATTTATATATTATAATATATTATTAAATATATATAAATATAATATAATATATATAGTGAATACAGACATATTAGATAGTATAGTATTAGATAGATTATTTATATATAATATATAATATATATATATATATATAATATATATATATATATTAATTAATTATATATATATATTATATTTATTAATATTATATTATTATATATTTTATATATTATTATTATAATAAATTTCTTATATATATATGTATATATTACTATAATAATTTAAATGTCTATATATATTAAGTAGTATATTACATATATATATATATGTATATATAATATTATTTATATTATGTTATTGCATATATACTGGTCAATATTATATTCTAATCAAGTACTCATTTTATTTGATGTGCAAACTTATATTTTAACTGGTCGGTTACAATCATTATCATCAAAGGGGTAATAACCTATCTAAGAACCGGCACAAAAATAAAATAACTAATAATATAACTGATATAAAAAAACAATTAATACAATATTCTGAAATTTAAATAAATCAACAATAATAACTGGGGTAAATGATAAAGTACTAGTATAAAGGAATTTACACTAGTAGAAGATAGAGTAAGGAGAGTGAGAGAAAAAAATAGGAAAATCCCGCAAGAGAGTGGGCTGTGAAGAGGATTAGGATATGGTGGAATGAAACTCTAATAGAGAAGCTATTCGGTGGGAAGGCGGGTAATGTATTGTATATGGTGTGGAAGTGCAAAATGTAGGAAAGGTAATGGATAAGGATAGGATATAAGTGAGGAGCATTGATGGATCTTTAAGTGTAAGTGTGTGTGTGTGGTGTATGTGTGTGATAGTGGGTAGTGTTGAGGGATAGTGGTGAGTGTATAGAAGATAGAGAAGGATGATGGTGATGATAGGTATGATGGTGAGTGTTGATGAGGTGTTAATATATAATGGAGGATACGGTAATATATTATATATTATAGGTACGGAGTGAGGAGGAGGTGGATGAATGACTTAGGTATTGTGAATGATAGTTAATGAGGTTTAATGTGAGTTGGTGGGATGGATAAGAGGTGAGTAGGGGGAGGATGATAAAGTAGAGATAATTGGAAAGAGGTGAAGTTGTTGATGTGATGGAAGATCGATGTTAAAGAAAAATAAGATCAAAAAAATGCTCGAGCAAGTGTATGTGCTTGCCAGTTTGTGTGAGTCGAGAATAAAAAGGTTAGGATATAGAAAGGGGAACGTCCTAGAAACCAGGGCAGCAGAATCTTGCCAGGGTAAGGCAGCGCATATTATTCAAGTGTTTTCTTTAAAAACTATTCATACACGACTCCTCATCCGGAGGTTTCTATTGGTGGTTTTTCCCTTTGCAAGGGTGGTGATTTCTGGCGAGAAAAAGGGGGCGCGTTTGAAGGGATGGAAGTGAGATGGAAGGATGCGAATAGGTGCTGGGCTATTGTTTGGGGAGGAGGAGAAAGGAGGTAGGGCTTCGGTTGTGAATGTGACGAGAGTAAGGCTCGAGGAAGATAGTGGACGTGGTGTGACTGTTGTGATGATAGTGGGAAAGGAAGAGGGGGAAGAAGGAGAGAAGATGGGTGGAATAAGTTGAGAGAAAGAGGCGTTTTTTTTTGTCTGTTCTCTTCCTCTTTCAATGTTCGATGCGTAAGATGGGCTTGTGGGGTGGTTGCATGGAAGGTGTGCGACAAGTTCGTAGCCTCCGTGATGTGTGATTATAAACTTCTACGCAACAGGGAAGAAAGGTAGGAGAGAATAACTGAGATTTGTTGGGATATAGAAGAGAAAGGTGAGTAGGAGATGGATAGGGCGAGAAATAAGAGAGGCGTACTTGGACTCCTGAAGCGAGGCAAATGTCCAGGAAGAAGCAGTTATATGTGAGGAGTGGTAATATGGTGTATTGGGGAATGTGAGGACTAGATGGGAGGGAGGAGGTAGGTGAAGGAGGTGGTGGAGGGGGACGAGAGGTGCAGGAGTACAGAGGAGTTTAAAGACCGAGCGGGATGGTAGGATAAGGAGAAAGAAGAAAGAATAGAAAGCTACTAGGGACATTGGAAACAGAGAGAAGATAAAGAGGCTAACTACTTAGAGGGAAAAATTAAAAATTGTAAATCTAGTAAAAAGACATGTAGGTTTTGTGAGTGTGAGTTGATTTTGTAGAATGGTGATGTGTGATGTGTGTGTTGATGGTGTGTATGTGTGGTGTGGTTTATATACGAGTAGTGTGGTGATTGAGAGGGTATTATCGGCGGGTTATTATCTGCTTTCTCGCGGTGATCTCTTGAGTGTTCGACTGTCTGGGGTGGATATGGGATGTGTTTAGTGTGATAGTTTAGTGTGGTGTCTGTGTGCCTGTCGTGGGTAGATGCACTGTATAACTACCTGCTCGTCTGTGATGGTACTGAAAAGGGGTGTAAGTGTATGTTGTGTGTTGGATGTGAGGGAGGGGGGGTGCACAGTACGTGTTCAATGCTAAAAGGGAACACAAGAGAAAGCATTAGCGTGGATCTTATCTCTGATTTAATATGGAATAGAAAGTAATGATTATCTTATAAGGGAACGTTATATTAAATTAATTTATATAATATATAATATATATAATATATATATTATAGAATATGTGCTGAGATATAGTGGTGCGAAGGATATTATAAAAATTTTAAAAAAATGATAATTTTAAAAAGATAATGAAAAACTTAGGAACATGTTGAATTAATGAATAGATCAGATTTATCTGCAAATAGAATACGTCATAATACATATCCCTTCTGTCTGTTCTGACTATCTATTTATCTTTATTAAATCTATTTAATTCATACCTTTTCCTTAATGCGTATGTCTAGTTTTGTAAAATAGTGAAAGAGTATAGAAAATTATTTAATATTTGGAGAAATTAAATTTATTGCTAGCTTATAAACAATAAAAATTTTGGTATGCAAGAAGGGTCGATAGGAGAAATAAAATTTCGAAGAAATAACGCATTTTTGACTAATCTTACTGTTATTATTGGATTGAATAAGCATATAAATTAATGACTTTTATATATTAACTTACGAATTATTTATCTATAAAAGCGTGAATATTGATGTTTCACTTTAGTTACCGCATCTTGTTTTCAGTTCATCATGTTCATTTGAAAAGATTTGTTTGTAGATAGTTTCGTAGATTTGGAGTAATGAAATATTTAGCTTAACAATTACTAAACACAGAAAAGTAATTATGCGGATTAAGTGGACCCCTAATCTGTTCCGGTACGAAATCTTGGTTCACGTTCTGTACCAATCCTTGGGGTCGGATTTGGTTAGGGAATCTGCGTTGACAGTGGTGTAATATGTTAGCATAAGGAAACTCTGTATGCTCTGGAGGACTTTGAGAATATTGTTTTCAATAAAGTTTCTCTTGATTACTTTTGTGCGTTATTGCTAGATAGGTACAGGTAAGAGATTGAAAATACTCTTTAGTCGAATATTATTCTTGTGATATTTTGAGTTCGTAAATTACATTTGTATTCTAGATGCGTGTACATGAAATATCTCGGCCAATGGTTAAAACAGGTTTATATAGACTCAAACGTTTGACGACCAACATAAGCAAATGGGGAATTTTGAGATCGTTCATTTTCATATAGATGGTTTGATATTACCATAGTGTGTATAGGTTTGTAGCGTATAATATATATATTATTGATAGATGAGAAATTAATAGAACGTAAACTGAATACTATATTCACTTATTAATACCGGACCTTTGAAGTAGTACCTTTGCTAATAACATGTATCTACATTCAATGATATTAGCATTGGTTTTGAAAGAATAATACTTAATAGCATATATCAATTCATCTAAGTAACAATTTAATTCACTCTGTGAAGAGTTCGACAAGTGGGCAATGCTGAGCAAGAGGAACTAAATTGAATGCAAAATAAGGAATAAAATCCACACAATAGCAGCAACGGCGTATGAGGTATTACATAGGTGGACATTACCACATTAAGCAATTTTTACTTACTTGAAGGTTTAGATTTGTTTTCTCAAGTATTTGACATTTGGCAACACACAACAACAAACACACCAACAAACCAATAACAACTACAAAACATAATGTTGAATTGTTTAGTAATTGAACATTATAGCAGCGTACTCTCAAAAGAGCACCTGTAAGAGATCCAATTAGTTTCCTATGTTTGTTTGTGTTGCATTCTTCACATTCAAAAATTATTTATAAGCGGGATCAAGCATTATTTAGTTTGTATGGGACACAATAGTTTCTAGATTGCACCTTAAGAAACTACACATTGTATCCTCATGGCATACATGGACTATCATTCTACATATCATAATTAATCTCACAATACATCACTCTATACTACTCCACTACTCTAGACACGCAAACACCACGCGTGCGGGGCTCACACACCACAACAACACAAATACAATACACCAGCAAACACAAATACACAAAACCAAAAAAAAAAAACATAA